ACATGCAACATAATTATGAAACACGGTGTCGCATGCGTCTACGGCCTACAAGGCGGAGGACTGCAGTAGCTAGCAAGCTCAGGCCAGGCGAACATGGGCCCAGCGTACACCTCCACTGTAGGACTTCTCTTCCTGCAGTGGTGTCTTCGGCTACCCACAGGAGACGATGTCTTGACCGGCGACGACCTCCTACTCGTGGCGCCTTGTTGGTAGAGGCCCGATGACGACCTCCTACTGGTGGCATAGCTTCTCTTGTGTGGCGCTAGCCATTGAAGACGCTCATACGCCGCCGGCTTGCTCTCCTCCTGCTCGTGCGGCGCCTGACTCACGTGCTTTGTGCACTCGCGCCCTTCGGTGTGGCCCATTGGTCCTCTTGTGATTCTCCCGCTCCTGCTCACGGCCCAAGCTAGCGCCCATCGGCGCGGCCCCTCTGTTGCTCGGCCGCAGTCGTCCAGCACCGTCCGCTCGCGGGGGATGGGGCACGACACGACTACGGTTGGGGTGCCGCGCAGTAGGGGGAAGGCCATGGCGCGACGGGGGATGGGGGCATGGCGGGACGGAGTGGGGCAGGCGGATGTGTGGTGACGCTGCGACACCGATGCGAGTGCGAGTGGGGAAATTTTCAGAGATGGAAGAGATGCAGAGGTAAGCATGCCTTTTGGTCCTGTCCGCTGCGTAGGCCCACGATGGCAACGGGATGGACGCCAGTGTGCAAGCATTTGCGTTTCATAATTACGTGTACATTAAGACCACCTCTGAAACAGCGCCGGTGTAAATTGATGTTTCTAAAGATGGTGCTCCATATATACGCCTCTATTAATCAAAAAATAAATGAAAGCTAGCCTAGGTTGTCCAATCAGCCAGCTAAGGCCTCGATCTAGGTCACGAGGGTGTCGCCGCCACACCATTGTGCAGTCCCATGTCTTAGCTTCCACATGGACTTCTATGTCAATGCCACCACACTGCCACACCTCCATCCCATCTGCCCAGCTCCACGAGGACCTCTGCGTCCATGCCGCCATGCCTATGAAGAGGGAGTGGGAGGGAGAGACAGACAAAGTGCAAGTTTGAGCGCCGATGCCCTCGAGGTTGAGAGAGAAGGGTGAGAGCAAGGGGACACCTTGGTCGTCGTGCCTACACCCAAGAGATCCCTCTACCGAGAGATTTGCGGCCTCCTTGCCAAGATCCACCGCCTCCTCGTGCCTCCTCTCCCTGAGATCCGCCGTTTCTAGTAGGGGACGCTAGTATGGGATGCTAGGAGGGAGAGGGGGCGCTACTGTAAGGTGACACCAGCAGAGAGGGGATGCCTGCGCATGCTTCGGATCTCGACCCCATCGCATCTCCATGTGCTGGATCTTGAAGTGCTTTCGTTTATAGCTTTCGCTTGCTGCTGGTAGGTGACAAAAGGAGGGAGTTGGATTCTTGAGCCATTGTTGTCGATGGGATACTCGTGTGGTAGCAGCAACAACATCTACAATGGGAGAGAGCGAGTGGGAAAGAAGGAAGAGGGAGGGGCGAAGTGGGAAGGAGAGGGAACCTTAGAAACAAAGTCCACTTAGCCTCACGTGCAGCGCATGTGACCCATGCGTCATGTTGGCTGATGACATGGACTTTGTTACGTTGGATCTATTACCCAAACAAAGGGGTATGGACCTACATTGAACGGCTTAAAAGGTTTATGGCCCAAATTTGATGGACCTGAATAACATCGAGCCCAGAAAGTTAATGCACCTACGGTGCATTCACATGGTGCTGAAGGGACCCATGTGCCATGTTGCCTGACATAGACTGCCACATTGGTTCTATTTACCAAAAGAAGATGCGTGAACTAGCAGTGAACTACTTCAAAAGTTTATGGACCCAAATCTGCAGTTTCATAGTTACACAGCCCAAAAAGTTAATGGACCTACAATGCATTTATCTCTATCTAAAAAAATCAGAACGACTCATAATTTGGAACGGAGGGAGCTAGTCATATTTGACTTGAATATAAGAAAATCACTCATAAGCAAATTCGTACTAGTTTAAGAAAGATAGAGATGATGTGTAAGGCAGTACCTCCATAGTGATGAGCAAAACATGTCCAAAAAAGTAATTCGAGAAGTAATTCACAGGTATATGAATCAAAGACATTTCTTGTGTGCCCAAATCATACTTTAGATGCCCGTGCAGTCTTCTCTCAAGAAGTAGAGTGCATTACCCTCAACCACACTGGCTTTCGGCGCTTGGCCAACACTGCAGTGTGGATGCTGCCTACAGGTTGTCTTACTCCATGAACCAGCCTCCAGTGACTAGACACTAGACATAAGTCAACATCTCCCTTTTCTTGGGGCCAACTACCACAACAAGGAAGTGTCTTCCGTGGCACTCTTGGTGGTGGGAGCCTCGCTGGTGCCACCTAGCCTGGCGGCGCAGAGCACAAGCTGCATTCGAGCTGTGAGCCTGTGACGGCGAAGGATCCCAGACAATGATGGCGTAGTCCGTAGTTTTTTCATGCACTATGCAAAGGAGTACGCACCCGTGTTGGGCGTTGATGACCTTGCACTTGCAGTGGAGGAGGTGCGGACCAAGTAGGATTTCATCCCACCTTTACAAAAAGAAGCCGAGCATGTGGGGGCGCGCTGTGTAACTCCCGGAACCTGCAGCAGAAGGCAGAGCTGTAGATGAAGTGGCACCATCGCGGCACGCTGTGTATCACTCGGAACCTGCACGCAGGGTTGCCGGCAGGAAGCAGATGAGGACCTCCTCGACAAGCTCTTCCAGCAGGCGGCAGCTGCGGTGGTTTGCGCTGGATAGAGGGCTGGCTCGATACTCCGAGGATGCGAAGCGACGGAATCAATGGGGTGCTGATGTAGTTTTCGGCGGGCCCAACAGCGCTGGTGGCGGGAGGGTGCTGCGGCGGCACCATGCTGCGTGGTTGGTATTGGTAACAGAAAACTGGGCCATAACAAATCTTTCAGTTCCAAAGATGTGTCATGAAAAGGCTCAAGGTATTGCTGAGTAACCGACTTCATTTTTCCAAACAACCCAAGACATCTGGGTGTCCAAATCGTGCTTGAGGACTCCGCTATGGCCTTGAAACCATAAATACAGTGCATTCCCCACCAGGGTGGTTCGTCCCGAGCCGATGGGGCACCTGTGCTGAACGGTTGTGAGCACATCACTCCACACACCAATCTCTGACGAGTAGACGTAAACAGACGCGAGTGATGGCGAAAGCCATTGTGTCCCCACGAAGACGACACGGAAGGGACTGCCGGCGCAGTCTAGGTGGTCGCAACCGGCTGCCGCGCAGACAAAAGCTGCGGTCCAGCTGCAGCACGACGGGAGGAGCCGCGGCCTGGGCAGCGTCCGCAGGTAGCCCGTGATGGGATCCCAGACAAGGAAGACCCCCTTCGCGGTGTGTGGAGAGTAGCGGTGAATGAGGACGCGGCCGTGGCGGCCGTCGACCGCCCGGCAGATACTCCTGCAGCGCTCGCCTACAAAGCGCGGGCGGAAAGAGGTGGTGGGCTGGAAGCGGAATAGAGCCCCGCGCTGGCGGAGGAAGCCGAGCATGGAGGCCGTGCCATGGACCTCGTGGATTCTGCGCCGGAATCCGAGGGCGGAGACGAGGCAGCGCTAGCCCTTGCAGACGAGGGCGGCGCAGACGAGGGTCGTGGGATCGTCTGGCGGGAAAAGTAGGAGGATGTCCTCCACGAGGTTCTCCACCAGCGCCGGTACCGGCTGCGCCGTCGCCATGCTGCTCGGTCGGATGGATCTCACCCAGGCGGCGGCTGAGCGAGGGTTTTGTTTAGGCCTCGTTCGTTTTGCACTGATTGAGGGCCGGAAATAATCCAGCTGATCATTACTATTATAAATAAACTTGCCATTCCATCCGGAACTGTTCGAAGCCTCCATTCCCCGCAACGAACGGGTCCTTAGGGTTGGGACTTGCGATGGGTTATTTTCTGAGGCCTCTGCCTGGTGGGGCCAAGGTGCAGAGGGCAAACTATTTGGCCTTTTTTTTTTTAGAATGAACTGTTTGACTAATTAGAATGAAGGTATTCAACGTAGTCTTGCTAGTGGGCTAAAAAGAGTTTGAGGCCCGACGGCTTTGCCAAGAAGCAGGAGAGGACATCGTCAAAACACCTTGGATGCAGGCCAAACAACGTGAATCATGCGCTGACCATCCCTTCCCTCTCCCTCTCCCTCTCCCACGCGACACTGCGCTTAGGGCCCAGCCCACCCTCTCCCACACGACCATGCGCCAGGCCCCGCCGAAGGCGGCAGCTAAGGTTCCGATGACGGCGGCGGCTAGGGTTCCGATCATCCGATGTCTCCCCCTCTTCTTGTCCAACTCTGGCGGACTTAGAAGGGGTTTCGGGGGAGGTATGTCAGTCAAACGGTGGAGACGGTGGCAGGGCAGTTTAGTGTCCTGGTGGCGGTGGAGGCGGGCGGACCATGTCGAGGCGGGGGGCATCACGGCGGTGCTCGCTGACGAGCAAAAGGACATGGCGACGGTGGGAGTAGGGCATGGGAGGGGAAGAAGAAGGCCGCAACGGCCGCACTAGGGTTTCACCGGATCTCCGCAACCGTAGAGCTATGGCGAACCCATAGGGCAGCTGCAGTGGGGGGTGGGCGCAAGGCGGTGGGGGGGCGAGGAGGAGGTGGGGGGGGGGGGGGTCGAGGACGAGCGCGAGCGGGAGCTGGGGAGCGAGGTTGAGTGCGAGCGTGTGCTAGAGGAGGAAGATGAACAGGAGGTGGTCGTCACGATGCTAAATGCCACCATGGTCGGACCCTAGCATGCCCGCCAAACAACGGGTTCGCACAATGTACAAGTGAAGTGCATGGCACTTTACACACATGGGCTGCAAACCTTTAACAGGGTGCATGTAAAAGGCTTATAAAACTCCAGCGTCACCTGAACAAGCTGCTTACCGGACCTCTCTCTGATCAAGCTATGGCAAAACAGAAAACAGGAAGGAGCTGCAAATTCAAATACAAAGGGTGTCCGAATCCAGATGGCACTCGACGCCCGCCACGGCCGCGTCCTCCTCAGCCACTACTCGCCTACATCTAGGCGTGAGAGCGAGGAGGACCTCGTCGTGTGCGACACTGTCAAGGGTGACCTGCTAACACTGCCGTGGCTCTACCATTGGTGCCGCAATGACTGGACCGCCACGTTGGTCTGCGCGGTCGCTGGGTGCGACCACCTCGACTATGCCCGCGGACCCTTCCGTGTTGTCTTCTTGGGAATCGACAAGGCGTGGCCGTTCGTCATGTCCGTATGCCTCTACTCATCTGAAGTGGGTGCATGGAGTGAGTACTGTGGTTTCTCCCTTTTAACGACGATCGCCGCCTGGCACCCTACCAACCTGGGGCCATGTGCCCTGGTGTGGAATCCACTCTTTTTTCGATGCTGCACCGGAATCCTGGAGCCCGATTTGGACACACAGGATTCTAATGTTAGATAAGCACCTGCATTCTTCATGCAGGATCACGGCGCCGTGCTCATGACTACAGAAGATGGTAAACTAGGATTGGCTGTCGTTCGGTAGTCCAAACTCGTCCTGTGGTCAAGGGAGGCTCTACCTCAACTCGATAGCAGGAAGGAGGACACTGGATGGGCATAGAGCAGAGTGATTGAGCATGTCGCTTTGCTCCCTTTTTGATGTCCTCTTCAATTCAGCTCGATTGGTTGGCTTTATAGAGGATATTGCCTTTATTGTACAACTTGGACGCACACAACACATACACTCCACGCTTACACTACACACACAAACGTATGCGCGTCCGTACACATGCAAAGAAGAGATTGGGAGGCTCTCCAGCCTCCAGTGCGCGGCCCACCGAACATGCACACATGCGTGTACCCTAATTTTTTTGGAAAAATTCTAGAAAATGTGCAAACACCAGAGTTTAAACCCTAGTGGGTAGGGACCAACTAAACTGTCTTACCATTGGACCACAGGCCCATTCACGTATTGCAGTTATTGTGGCGCGGACTGTTGGTTCGCTCTTCACTATTGATCTCAAGTCGAACCGTGTTAGGGAGATAGGAAAGGGTTTGAACCTGCATGGCTATCATGTTGTTCCCTTTTGTGAGCCTCCGCACATGTCAAATACACACGCATGGACACACGCGCGCACACACAGACGCGCCCACACCCACATGCACGCACGACCGAATACACATTGACACACGCACAACACACACATGCACAAGCACACACGTGCGCACGCACACGCACAGGCACACACACGCACCCCCACACATAGACGCGCCAACACATGCACTCCACCGCACACACGCGCACACAGAGACACACATGCACATGCGCACACACGAGCACACACAGACACACATGCACACATGTGCACGCACAGACACAAGACACACACAGAAGCACGCACGCGCGCCCACACACAAACACAAACACACATGCAGACACATATTCTATGTACTTGCTTTATCACACAATGTACACAGCATGTAAACCTCTACGCAAAAACAATAGGATCATGGTATTTGCATGTTGTACATACATGTTCATGAGACATGTCGGTAACAAACCTACTGAGAGTCTGGTAGGAGCACTGCTCATTGAGCATGGTTGAATCCAAGAACTCTCAAGGTGCGTCCTTCGACCTCCATGAATGGAATAGAATCTGACATTACCTAATGAAAATGTATTGGCATTAATTGATGTTCTCCACATTACCATAGTGTATAAAACACAATATTCACTATGTAACAATAAACCATAGTGCCTCTAGTGAGAATGGACCATTTCTGGCCTTTTCACAACCGTGGTCGAAACCATTGTATTTGGATCTCCAGTGTCTTTATACTAGTGAAAATAGCCCCTAAGACGCTGGGAAAGTTGGATTGAAAGGTGGTTCTTGAGTTGTGATTTGAGTTTGGGCTATATTTTGCTTAGAAAACATACAATTTTGAACTTCTTTTTCTTTTTTTCCTTTTTCATGGCTGCATGTTTCAGTTTGAATTTATACGTTGGATACTTTTGGAGACAGACATTTTTTTATCGTCTCTGTTAATGAAATGGTCTATCAGCACAAATCATTTTGTAGTAGTAAAAGCTGAAAATTTATTTATTAGTAAAGCTAGTTTCTTCATTTAAAATAACAATAGCCACGCTAACCGTCGGATAAAGAAAGTTGCTTATTTATGCACGTCACTGTATAGTGATAGTTGTGACATTTTTGGGGAGACTGTTTCTAGGCCCCATAAATTTTATATTAATTAAATATTTTTCATAATATTTATGGATTTCAGTGTCGTATATGTAAATTCAACAAAACAGTGTCGTGTATGGGCACAGAGCAGAGTCATTGAGCTCGGCGCTTCGCTCCCTGTTAGTGTCCTCTTGGATCCGGTTCGATTGGTTAGCTTTACGAAAGGAGTCCTTGCTAGCCACTAGTCTCTACTTACCCAAGTCACCATCATTAACTGCAGCAAACCTGTGGAAGTCCATGGGACAATATGTAGAATATAAGATATCATGTCTAAATTGCCGTGAAGCCAATGATGGGCAAGCTAGGCATACTTACATTTTTGTTAATTTCTGCTTCTATATATGTGGCTGCCCTGCTGGTCTGGAAGAACCAGATTGCCCCATCTGAACAATGGAATAAGATCAACAATTATTATTGATCAATTTCGACATAAATGAAACATGAATTAGAATAAATGGAATAAGGTAGCAGTTAAGTTAATTGAATTCCTCTTGAAAGAGTATCATTTGCTTACAGAAAAAGCTGTGAACACACAATGAGAAGGTTTATTACCTGACTTCTTCCCGATGGTCTGGCCAGTCCATGATTCAAATCTGATAGCAAGAGCAACACATCATAAATAATTTCGAACATCATCAGATGACAGTCAGATTAGCACATGATAGCAGGCTGCAAGACTTATTACCTGGCGGTGTCACTAGCAGATACATGCCGTTTCCATTATGATACATGGGGATATAATATCCAGCTGGGATAGCAACAGCGGGCGACACAACATAGCTGATGAGACAAGATGCAAATAAATTTAGGAAGGAAAATATAATATTATTACCCAACGCTGAAATATTGTAAAACATTATATATGTGTCGCGATAGCTTAGAATTTGAGATAACCTCGAAGCTGGAATAGCATAAGTGTTATTTTCGTGCCTCGCATGACGCTCCCAGCTTGTGATATAAGAAGAATGAGCAGCCTGCAGTAGGTACGATTAAACCTCTCTACTAGCACGGACTGGTGGTCAGCTGTTTACTATTGATCTTAAGTCAAGCAGTGGTAGTGAGCTTCTGCACATGTCACATACACATACACACGCATGCACTCACACATATACACGCACACAGGCCCGACACACACACACACACAACACGCACAACAACACCCACATGCATGCACACACGCCCGAACACACACACGCACAACACGCAGACACACAGACGCGCGCACCCACACGCACAGGCGCACATACGCACACATCCACGCAGCCCCACACATAGACGCGCCCACACATGCAGCCCACACACACACACACGCACACGCACATGCACATGCGCACACACGCACGCCACGCGCGCGCACACACGCGCGCACAGACACAAGACACACATTCACAAGCACGCACGTGGGCCCACACACAAACACGAACACGAACACAAACACAAACACATATGCAGACACATATTCTATGTACTTGCTTTATCACACGATGTACATAACATGTAAACCTCTACCACTACCGGAATCGCAAGCTTTGCTGAGTGCCAATAACTTTGCTGAGTTTTTTCTCTCGGGCACTCGGTAAAGGCTGTCTTTGCCGAGTGCCCAAACTCCAACACTCGACAACGACACGACCCTCGGCAAAGCTGGTCTTTGCCGAGTGCTCAGTTTCAGCACTCGGCAAAGACGTCCTCTTTGCCGAGTGCTCAGACATACACTTTCTTTGCCGAGTGTCAACGTCTCACACTCGACAAATTTTGGCCCGCCGTTAAACCAGCCTGCCGCGTCAGCTCTTTGCCGAGTGTACAAATGCAACACTCAGCAAAGAGGATCTTTGCCGAGTGTCAAAAGCAGACACTCGGTAAAGTATAATTTTTTTTGACTCCTGCACTTGGTACTCCATGCTTAAGTTTGGTGTATTTTTGAATTTATTTGCTATATTTAACTAATTAATTGCATTTCAAGCAATTTTTTGAATTAAGTTAAATTTGAACTGCAAGTGATTCAAATATTTGGAAAAAATGAGTATAAAATTGATATTCATGTTATTCAACCCAGTTTGAGGCCTTACCTATAAGATTATAAGGGTTTTCGAACATCTTATTTCAGAAATACGACCCGGCGTGTGGTTGAATGGTTTTTAAATTCTATAAAAAGCAAAGGAAGTCCGAAAATCATGAAATTTGATAAGATGTCATGATATCATATGTGGAGGCTGTGGTAAAAAATTGAGAAGGTGTCGCATAAGTTGTCACGTACATTGCTTACAAACCGAAACATCTCCGAAGAAGTTTCATGATTGTTGAGAATGATCTGGTAAGATTTAGAGTGAAAGTGACGGTCGAGTTGTGGTTTGACTCCGAAACCTTTTGTATAGCCAATAGACATCAAAGATCGTGTCATGTTAAATTTTAGCGATTTTTTAGATCCATTTGATAATTATTAATTTGTAATTGCAATTATATAAATGGAATTTGAGCTATAACTACATGAAATCATGGTCTATTTTTCGCTGAAGCATCAAATTTGCATTGTTGAGTGAATTTGACAAGGTATTTTCGAAGTGTATTGGAACAAATTTGGAAAAAACGGTTAAGGAAAACGGAAAGGAAATAGAAAAGTTTTTTAAAAAAATACCTTTGCCGAGTGTCCTAGGGTTTGCACTCGGCAAAGTATAGTTTTTGCTGAGTGCCTTATCGGCTTAACTCTCGGCAAAGATTTTTAATGTTTTTTTTTAAAAAAAATCCCGGCTTTGCCGAGTGCCGGATCGCGGACACTCGGCAAAGGCCTGACCTAGGACTTAACTGCCACGGCCGAGACTCACTCACGCCGCCACGCTCACACCCCTGCCCAGTGCAGTGCCGCCCTCTCTCCTCACGCGTCCTCTGCAACCTCCCCTCCCCTCGCTCCCTCACCGCCCTTGCCAGCGCCGCCCCCCGCCCTGCCCGTCATCCTCGCGCCGCCGCGCCTTCTCCCACGCTACCCCGCTCGTGCCCGCCCGCCGTGCTCGCACTACACCACAACACCAAGATTAGCGATGGACGGTCTGACGCTAAAAGCGGCTACAGCGACAGACAATCTGACGCTAAAAAGTTATTGTGTCAGACTTCTGCAGACGTCTGTAAGTCCTGTCGCTAAAAATCTTTAGCGTCGAGACAAGATGCTTTTAGCGTCGAGACGTCCGCTTAGCTGAATTTTTTAGCGACAGACAGTCCATTGCTA